AGTCTCCTCGGAGGACTTGCGCGCCTACAGGCTGGGGTTTGGCACTTTTATAGAGCAGAAGCAGGGTACAGAAGCAGAAGCGCGGTTATTGGTTAATTCAAAAACACACAGAGTAATTTCAAAAGCATACAGAAATATGGGGTAAGGGCCGGGGCTAAGGGGAAGTGGGATTGCTAAATGGGAGGTGACCTCAGGGACACAGATGAGACCACTGATTTCCTGGTATCGGGCCCTGAGGGTGGTCAATCTGCCCGTAAGACTTGTTTACGGCTTGATCCTTGAAGCTTGACCGGCGCCTGCCTGTCCTGCAGCTTTTAGATAAGGCTGGTTCTGGCTTCTGGCTGACAATTTTAAATATGTGGGCTTGTGGCGCCTAGTTTTCTCAGCAGCATCCCATGGGCTGTTGCAGCCGTTACTGTGTTGTGCGCCCCCAGAGAGTGGAGAAAAGGCCATGACCTGTGCCATGCACCACATGGCCTAGGTGCGAGCCAGCCGCCATCTGGATGAGTGTGGCAAGAAGGCACTTCCCCCCAAGGGGAAGCCCAGGGGGATGCGGAGGACTATGGGAGAAAGCCCTCCATGCAGGGTGGTCTCAGATGAGCCTCTCCTGTAAGAAAAAGTTTATGGAAAACAAGTTTGTCCATGGGGCAAGCCACCTTAAATTCTTTAAATGCTCCACGGCCACCCACTGCTTTAAATCCCTTGTTTTTGTTATTGTTTGTTTTGTTATGGGGCAGGCCAGTTTAAATTCTCACCTAACTGGTTTGGCCTGAGCCTGAATGCCCTGAGGCAAGATAAAAAAAATGGATAAGGAAGTTTATTTGCTCTCTTAGGAGTTCAATTCAATGTGTGTGAAAATCCCTGTGCGATAGAACTTTGGGGATTCTTTGTTTCTAGGGGTGTTGTACAAGAAAGAAAAGGAAGTGAAGCGCCAATTCCTAGGGGAACATTCCTGAGACCCAAAGGCCTCAGGAGATTCCTCACTAGTCCATAGCGCAAGCCTGACCGCAAGTTTCAGAGAACCAGCATCTGCTCTAAGAGCATTTAACTGGTCCTTGGGTGACTGGGTTTTGCATTAGAAAGATGTATAGATAGAAGGTTTTTGTTTACACCCAGTGGGCAGTTGGAGTCCATTCAGAGGACTAAGAGCCTCCAGCTAACATCAGGGAGTAGCCCTGATCAGAAAGCCTCAATTGCTCCTTCATCTTTAATGGTCTCACACTAAGACTCAGACCGAAAGTAAAAGGAGGAAAAAGGAAGGGCTGTGGATCCTCAAGAGTGGGATGGCCAGGCAAAGCTGCCAGTACCCTTTTGGAGAGAGGGGGTACTCAGAAACTCTGCACGTTCCAAGAGCCCCACGTTGGGTGTCAGATATGGGTCTCTTCTACCCCTCATGGGCTTTTGGCCACTGACCCATGAGAACAAGGGAGCAGAGGCAACTAACAGGGTCAGGACAGCCAGTGAGCATGACGGAAAAGAACTTCCGGGAGTCAGTTCCAGTGATACAGCTTGTTTATTCAGTGGGGGTCCAGGAAAAATATAGGGTGGAGGCAGCAGCTAAAGTTTTACATGATAGGTGCTTATAGAATGCTTTATTTACATGTGGTAGGGGGGTGCTATCATCTGGCTATAGGGCAATGCCTAATTATCATATAGAAAAAAGCTTGGGACAGTTTATTACAGGTAACTATGCATGTTCCAAATAAGGCCAGGCATCTCTGCTTGGAGGCACTTCCCAGATAAAGTCAGGCAGAGAGCAGGAAGCCCCGCCCCCCACCAGACCAGTGCTCGACCATATAGTGCCAAGCTCCTTAGAGCTATCCTGACATGGTGGACTGCAACTTTAGAAGCAGGATCCCCCAACAAGGAATATTTTAGAAAAAAATATTTGACTCTGTGTTACATTTCCAATTCGATTAAATTCTCGGTAAGCTTTCTACAACAACATATATAATCAACAAATTGTACTATATGAACTGAGGAACCATTTTTTCTAACAAATCAATAAGTACAGCAGCATTATATCTGTAGAGATAATATACAAGAATATTTTGTCAATAATAATTTGTTTTCATGAGGTCAGTTTTCTTTCCATCTTAGAAAAAATTTCAATTCTAAATCTTCACATAAGGAAGTCATTACAGAATCTACGGCTTGCTTTTTAATAATGAAGCTGCATTCAAATGTCCCTTTTAGATTGTATTTACAGAACCACAAATTCATTGATTTTATGGCCCAACTCAAAGTCATTAAAGCGAAGTTTCGATAAACTCAGTACATCCTTTTTCCTCTATATGGGAGGTTGAAATTTTCCTTTAATATCATAAAGTTGGCACTTTTGATCTTGTACCTATCTTGACTTTTTGACCTATTTTTATTTTCTATATAGGAGTATTTTGCCTGCATGTATAATAAAGTACACCCATGTGTGCAATGCCTTGGAGGCCAGAAGAGGGCATCGGATCCTGTGGAACTGGAGTTTAGGACAACTGTGAGCCACCAAAGTGGGTGCTAGGAACTGAGCCTGGGGAACAGCCAGTGCTCTTAACCACTGAGCCAGCTCTCCAGCACTCCCTGAACATTTCTCAAAGTCTTTGAAGTGCAGCACTAGCATGTCTGTAAGATTAAGTCATTCACACTAGTTCAAATACAAGCAAAGGAATAGTTCAGCACATTAAAATGCCACGCTGGAGTAATTTAGCATGTTAAAAGGCCACAATGGCAGCCTAACATCTTCTGACTCAAGTCCATATCCTCTTCATTTAAGCTTGGTAGGCCAAGGGAGTAGCAGGACTTGTCTTGTTCTGGGCACCAGCTTTCCTTTGCAATTTTAAGGACTTACTTGGGACCAATGACCACACCCAGTGCACGGCCAGCGTGGGAGTCACTTAACATTCCCTGGCGCGGGTCCCATCAGTTCTGTTCGGAATTAAGAATGCCGGTGCCAGGGGGGAAGAGAGGCAGACCCCCTGCGCGCAGCAAAACTGCAGGTTTAGAGCCTGGTCACCGGCCAGGCAGCGGGACCAGGGAGGGAACCGCTGGGTCGCTGTCCCACCCGGTGACCCCAGAACCAGCGGAGGGCCTGGGAACTCCCAGCTCCACCCATCCTCAGCCCGGCTAGGCGCCGCGGCCGCCCACCGGAAGCGAACCCGGAAGACCCGCCACGTCGGAGGTGCTGGCTGACGTCACGCGCCGACATCACTCGCCCGCCTTCCGGCGATGGGTGGTGCGGGGCCGGCACGAGGAGGCGGGGTGGGGGCGGGGCTCAGGGCCGCCCGGGCTGTGCGGGGTAGGTGGGCACGGACCAGGGGACTACGGGTCGGGGTTGGGCTCAGCGCGCTCCAGACAAAGGAGGTTCGGCGGAGGCCGGAAACTGAACGGAGGGGCCCGGCTGAGCGCAGCTGGCGGATCTTTGGCTGTCGGGGGGTCTTCGTGGCCGCCTGAGGCTCTGCGGGCCGGAGCCCAGCCCGGGCTTCCGATCCCCGTCCGCCCGGAGCCCAATCAGGGCTTCCAAGCCCAGTCCGCCTGTCCGTAGCCCGACCTTCCGATCCCCGTCCACCGGCCCGTAGCCAGGGCTTCGCCGGCTTTCCGAGGCTCCGCGGCTCCCGGTCGCCGTCGCCCCTGCCCCACCGCTGGAGGTGCCGAGCTCTGCCCAGAGAGCTCGCGGCCCACCCGGGGCTCATGATGGGGTTGATCTTCGCTAAACTGTGGAGCCTCTTCTGCAACCAAGGTGAGGACGACGGGGCTGTGCGGCGGGGACGCGGTTGAGGCGGCGCTGGGAAGTGCGGGTGTAGACCCAGACAGTGCTCAGGACAGAGCGGGGCAGAGGGGACTGAGCACGGGAGGCCGGAGTCAACGCCGGTGCAGATCTTAGCCTAGCAAGGTGGAAAACCCCAGGCGTGCCTGCGTTCCCCTTGCGGGTCTTCCCTATGTCAGTGAAGCATCCTTAGGTCCAGTTAGCCCTGGGAAGGTGTCCATCCAGAACCCCGAACTTCCCTGATAGGAAACATCAGTTTAGCTTTGTTTTCCACCCTCTTGTCCGAACCAGCGCATCTTCCCGTTGTCTCTGACTTGGCTCAGAAATGTTCTATACAGATGCTCAGGTTCTTGAAATTTTCTCACACACACATACCCCCTTCGTAGGCGTTAAAAAACCAGCTAAATGCTTTCTGTTATGTGTAAGATGTTACGTGTCCATAATTAGTCTTAGAACAGGAGACACCTATGAATGGCAAGTCAAAAAAGCCAAGAAGTTGTAAAACCTGTTCTGAGTCAGTGTGGTGCGGTGTCTTGAGTCGGTAACTATAGAAAGGGGGCCCATGGTAAAATCTGGGGCATGTTTTTTGTAGCAGAATGATTTCCTAGAATTGAAACCAGTTTTAAGTTTTGTTTTGTAGGGCATGATTTATAAACCAGTGTAGTTTTTATGATGGCACCAGTTCCTTACCAGTAAGGTGCACGTCGGGTTTTTTGGATTTAAGTCACTTGTTCTGAGGTTAGTTTTCAAGCTTATCAATATAGAGACATACACGGATACTAACACCTGTGTGTATGTGTATGCAGATGCCACGATGAAAAGCCCTTTTTAAGTGGCTCAGAGTGGCCAGAGTTCAACTCCATACAGATGTTACTCATAAATTTGATATTTATTTCAGCAACGTATATTTTCTAATGCTTGCATTAGTTTGCTGTGGGAAGGAGTATTTCAGTACATAACTAAAGGTGTAATGACTGGTGTCACCTCTTTATCATTCCCCAGAACCTAAGAAATTACTGAAGTTGTTGGGTTTTTTAATACTCTGATTATTGTGGTAACCATTTTTTTCACTGGAGGATTCAATTCCATAATCAGACTGGGAGGGAAAAAAAGATGAAAAGGGAACTCACAGAAGATGATGAAAAGAGATAGACTGCTTTTTATCCTCAAGTAATTGTTCAGGCGTCCTAAATCCACACTGCTTTAGACTTGCTCTTTTTTTTTTTTTTTCTGTCTTTTTGAGACAGGGTCTCCCTGTAGCCCCAGCTGTCCTGGAACTTACTATGTAGACCAGGCTGGCCTTTAACTCACAGAGATCCGCCTGCCTCTGCCTCCCAAGTGCTGGAATTTAAGGCGTGTGCCACCACGCCCGGCTAGACTTGCTCTTTTAACTTTCCTATTGAAATTTTAGAGCTACTGGTTGTATCATTACATTTTCTCATAGTCTGTAAACCAGCCCTCAAAATTAGACATAATAAATAGGATGATTAAGAATAAACAAGAAACAGTGGAGCACACTTTAGTTCTAGCAGAGGTAAGGTATGCTTGGACTTATGTTGAGCAGGAGTTTAGGACATGCAAAGTAAACTGAGTTAAATAGGCTGTATTATTGTAGGCAAATGGACTAATGAAAAGAGAGTACTCAAATAAATTAGGTACACTTAAGGAAGCTGAGCATAGTTAACTTTGTATAGACCTATATTGCTTCTTGGGTTAAAGAGATGAGATTGGAGAGGTAAGCAGGAAATGAGATCACCAAGAGCATTATATGTTGACTGAGACAGTAGACAGACTACAGCAGGTAGTAGACCCTTTGAAGAGTTTGGTCATTAGATGTTAATGAGTAATGGGGTCAGAGTCATGTCTCAGCCTGGAATTTTTGTTTTCTGTATCAGCAGAATTAACTTCCAGTTTTGACATTTCCTTTTTATCAATACACACTTTTTATTCGGAGGTGCCAGTTTGAGTTGTATGTTGGAATAAAATGTCCCAAGTCTTCACTCTTCCAGCCAGGTCAGTGGGTTAGGGTGTGGTAGGCTCCAAGACCATTCTGAGGTGCACCCAGTGTTAAGGAACTACCAGTAACTTACAGAAGCTTCTTTCCCTTATATCTCATTCAGTATTTGCTCATTTTAAAAATTTTATTTATTATTTTTATTTTATGTATATGCCTGTATTGCCTGCATGTAGGTAAGTGCACCCATACATGGTGTCATGCAGTGCCTGAGGAGGTCAGAAGAGGCTGTTGGATCCTGTGGAACTGGAGTTATGGACAGTTGTTAGCTGCCATGTGGGTGCTGGGATTCGAATCCAGGTCTTCAGCAAGGACAACCAGAGTTCTTAACCACTGAGCCATCTCTCCGGCCCTATTTCCTCATTTTTTTTATCTGGGTTTTGTAGTTTGTTTAAAGAGCCCCAAGCATGTTTTCATATGTGATATATCTGGAATTGAGGATCATAAACCATGCATTGTCTATGTTGGTAGGCTGATTATTTTGACATAATTATCATTGGAGGAAATAATTTCAAAATCTGATTACCTTTGCAAGTATTTTATATGTCTGTATGGTTGCATTTTTTTTTTTTTAACCTTTTATGTGTATGAGGGTATTGCCTGCGTATGTGTGAGTGATATCTTTAAAGCTTATTTCTGAAGTTTTGCTTTTTTTTTTTATTTTATAACTTTCACAGGCATGGTCTTTTTCTCTTTGTTATGACTGTACGTACTTGTCATCAGGGTTTGCTTTTACCCAGAAAGATAGATGAAAGGAAATTTTAATTGTAGTTTGTTTTCGTAATCAAATGGCAATAAGATCTTGAGTTCATTATCTAAATGCTCTCATCCTCTTCAGCACCTTGCACGCTGTCATCTTGAACACTGGTCCTGCTCTCCAGGAGCCCTAGACTTACTTTTCACCCTGACTGCTCAGATACTGTCCTAACCTGTTAACTTTGAGCTAATTCTACTTTTCTTTTTTAAATGTTTAAAAAATTTTTTTATGCGTATGAGTGTATTGCCTGCATATATGTGAGTGCACTTGTGTCGTGTAATGCAGCGGAGGTCAGAAGAGGGCATCGGATTCCCCTGGAACTGGAGTTAAGGATGGTTCATAGCTGCCATGAACTGCTGGGTGCTGGGAATCGAACCCGGGCCCTCTGCAAGAGCAGTCAGTGCTTTTGACCGCTGAGCCATCTCTCCAGCCCCCGCTAATTCTACTCTTAATTGTGGACTTTTGCTGGTTTCAAACACATCAGACAAAATCTGTTCCCTGTTTTCTAGAATGTATTTTTATCCATCCCTTTGCGAAGTCACCTCCATTAATTTCATTGGGATTTCTGATCAAGTCTTGCTAGTTAGAGAGGCTTCCCTTGACAGCTTTTTCAGAAATAGGCCTCTCTGCCCTAGCATTAACTCTACGTAATTACTGGTTTCTGGGTAATGTTTATCACTGCTTATAATTGTATTATAAATTTCTTTGTTGTCTTTTTTTACTCAGTAGAAATGATCTCCTTGGGGCATGGACTTTTTTTTTTTCCTTTTTAAAAATTTTATTTACTATTTTTATTTTAGGTGTATGAGTGTATTGCCTGCATGTATGTAAGTGGACCCATGTCCTGCAAAGCCTGCAGAGACCAAAAGTGGGCATCCGATCCCCTGGAACTGGAGTTACCGACAGTTGTTAGCTGCCATGTGGGTGCTGGGACTCAAACCACTGGAAGAGCAGCCAGTGCTCTTAACCACTGAGCTATCTCTCCAAGCCCCACTTTTTTCCTCTTCTTCCTCTTCCTCTTCCTCCTCCTCCTCCTCTTCTTTTTTTTTAATGTATTAGTTTTTTGCCTGCATGTATTTATTTAAGTGCACCCATATATGCACTTGGAGATCAGAAGAGGGTTTCAGATCCCCTGGAACTGGAATTACAGATGCTTGTTAGCCACCGTGTCTGCTGGGAACAGAGCCCTGGTCCTCTGCAAGAGCAGCCAGTGCTCTTAACCGCTGAACCATCTCTCCAACCCTGGTGAACTTTTTTTATTTACTGTTTTGTTCACAGTGCCTGGTGTGTATACTCATTTTTGGTTTTAGTTTTTGGTTTCATTTAATTCAAACATCAAATTTTGTATCATAGTAACATACACTATATTTAAAAAGTGAAATGGTGTTAAAGTCTTAATGTTTGAATAGTCTTTAAACTCAGCCTTTTATCTGGGGCCATAGTCCATATTTCTGAATATGTCTAGATGGGAATTTTACGTTATCATTTATCCTGTTAGGATAAATGCCTGCTTCCCCCTCTCTCTGTCATGGTGTTCCAGACCTGACTGAGTTTTCATTAGTGTGATTATAAGGTTTTGTTACTACTCAGCCGTAGTTTGCTATAATTATATATCCTTTTATTCCTACAACATTTTGCCCTTAAAGTAAATAATTACATGATTGTCTTAGTTTTCTTTGTACATTTGGTTGAGGTTTTAAATTATGTGGATGTATTTATATTTCTCTTTAAGTTAGTATGTAGCAAGGCAATTTCTAAGACACACACACACACACACGTGTGTGTGTGTATATATGTATATGTTTATATGAATGATTAGTTTTCTACAACACTGCTGTTATCTTTCAGAGTTCTTATGCTGTTTGTATGCTCTTGCCAGAAGTGTTCCAAATCCTCAGTAGCAGTTGCTGGTATCAGTGTTTTTAATGTTTGGTATTCTGTTGAATGTGTAGTTTATGTGATTATAACTTTAATTGGCACTTTTCTGGTGACTACTGGCTTTGCCATTTGTCATGTGCTTGCTTGCTTTTGTAGATAGTTTAAACCCTTTGCCCATTAAAATTTTTTGATCTTTTTTTTATCATGTCACTTTAGGAATTATTAATATACTCTGAAATCGAGTTGCTAGATGCATGTTATGTGAATATGTTCCCTCAGTCTGTTGCTCCCCTAAACCTCTGGGCATTGAGCACGGTAAGTAAC